GCCATATTGGCTAGGCTGGTCTCAAACTCTGGACCTCAAGTGATCCACCCACCTAAGCCTCCCAAAGTGCTGGGATTACAGGCGTGAGCCATTGTGCCTAGTCCAACATTTTCTTTATCCATTCATCTGTCAATGGGCATCTAAGTTGTTTCCATGTATTAACTATTGTGAATGATGCTGCAAGTGTAGATATCTGGTTGTTGGATTTTTTGGTTTGTTTTTGAGACGGCATCTCATTCTGTTGCCCAGGCTGGAGTGCAGTGGTGAGATCTTGGCTCACCTCAACCTCCACCTCCTGGTTCAAGCAGTTCTCTGCTTCAGTCTCCTTAGTAGCTGGGATTACAGGTGCCCGCCACCACACCTGGCTATTTTTTTTTTGTATTTTTTGTAGAGACAGGGTTTCACTGTGTTGGCCAGGATGGTCTTGATCTCCTGACCTCGTGATCCTCCCACCTCAGCCTTCCAAAGTGTTGGGATTATAGGTGTCAGCCATCACACGTGGCCGGATATCATTATTTCAAATTGTTCTTTTGCAGCACTGGAGGTTTAGTTTTAGTCATTTGCTATTTCTCACATTTTTATTATCTAGGACAGACGTTGCTAGACTAAGGCTAGTTGTGCTGAGCATATCTTGCCTTTCCTGTTTTTGTAGAGTCTTCAAGTTAAGAATTATTTTTACATTTATGTATTAAAATAAATTTTATTGTATAGGTTTGAGTTTTACATGATGTTATAGGTTACATATAGTTTAGCCAGTGAACATATTTATCATCTCACGTACTTTGTTTCAGTGACGAATAGCTAAAATATACCCATTTAACAAAAATCCATAAGATATAATTGTGTTAACTTTAGTCCTCATGTTGTACAGTAGATCTCTAGACTTGTTCATCCTGCAAGTCTGCTATTTTGTATCCTTTGACCTCCATCTCCCCCTTTCTCCATCCCTCACTGGTGGTAACCACTGTTTCATTCTCTGTCCTGTGTATTTGAGTGCTTTTTTTTTTTTCCTCAA